CCCTGGCTTGTAGCCAAGATATCCTTTTTGAATTGTAGGTTTTTCCTTGCGCAAAAGCCTCGTGGCATTTCGGCTGCGAGGCTGGGATTCAAAAATGAACCGTAGAGGAGGATAGCTGTTATTCACCGAGGGGTGGGGAGGGTCTAACCTCCTTTAAAAGCCAGGATTTCCAATAGGACTCTAACGCGATCACTACGAAAGCCTCCTGTACTGAACTATTCGTAGTGACTTAGTGGATCTGGTGAAGTACGGTAATGTCATCTACCTATGGTCTAGGTGATGGGTAAGATGGGGCGGTAGGTCGCTGCAAGAGGGTGATACATTTGGTCGGATATTTAATAAATCAGTTTCCATCCTTTAAGGCTCAGGAGAGGGCGAACTCACCGACACATCACTCAGCCAATAAAATTGTTCTCAACCTCGAGTACAGCAGAAGAAGCTACAATCGTACGTCAGAACAGTGCCGAATTTACTGGGAGTCGAACTTGGTGCTGAAATCAAAATCGCTACCCAAAACTCATAAATGTTTTATGAGTGATCAGAGTTTCTAATGGTGCAATGCAGGTGTTCCACAAGCATGCTTGTCACATCTGGGCTCGGGTATAAAGAAATTGGTTATTGGTATGAATTTCCGCAAAACAAGAGCACCGTGCAGTGTTTCTAGGGATTGGCCATGAAAAGGAGCAGCTATGGCTCACGTGGCTTTATAAAAGAACCCTCATAAAGGCCAATTTTTAGGGCTAAACCCTCATGAAGTGGCTTAATCTGCTATTTGATATTACGATCGCTGGTTTCGGATTGCAAAATTCACATTTATGATTGGATCTTGACATCACTTAATTGCTGAAGATAGTCATGTTCCAATGGAAAGTGCCCGTAAGTGGATACTAATGACAAGGTGGTAAGTGATCTAGCGGCGAAGAGGAAAGCACAAAAAACTTGCAAGAAATATCCATATAGACCCCTGCGAGGGACTTCATTTGTTCGTGCATAAGGCCAAGAAGGGGCGTGGTGAACGAGTTCCCACTTGTTAGTGCTCTCTTTCTCCTTCCCATCTCCTTCTTACAATTCGAAATGAAGGAAGAGCGTCAGTAATTTAACATCGCACTATCAGACAGCAAATAAAAATGAACCTTGGGCGTTGCGGTAGTCATTTGGCGGAGCGGTGAGTCCGACACGAGCAGGCAACGCCCTCCTCGCATATTTCTTAACTACGAAATTGGTGTATTCTCCATCCTTGTCGAGAAAGGGGATACTTGAAGAAAGCATGGAAACATCAGTTGAACATGCGCTCTGCCTTTAAAAACTTTCAAGTTTTTTTATGAATCATTATCCTGTTCACTCATCAATTATTGTTTGTAGATGGTGAAACTGTCACCCAAGAAGCTGCAAACAAAACGGGAAGTCCGCACTGTACTCCCAGAGGAACAGTACCTAGCTAAGCTTGAAAAGATAATCGTCAGAGACTACTTTCCCGATCTTCCCAAACTGAAGGTTTGATCTAATTGCAGGTTGTCTGCCTTCTAGTAGTGTGAGTCACATGTCTTTTGCATTTTTCAGGCTCAGACAGAATACATGGATGCTATGAAGCGCAACGATATAGCTAAAATGCGTGAACTGCAGTTACGCTATCACACAAG